TTAAAGAATGGAAGCTAGCAGTTAATTTAAGCAAAACAGAAATTGTAACATTTAGGAGGGGCGGTCCTGTGGCCACAAACGAACGCTGGTTTTATGATGGTCAGTTGATTAATGTATCCGATCAGTATTCTTACTTAGGGTTTTGGTTTTTGTTTTCAAACAGAATGAATTTGAATAAATGTTCACAGAACTTGGCTTTACCTGGAAAAAGGCTTTAATACAAGTTTTATCGGTTTTATACAAAGTTGGAACTATGTCACCCAAGGTGTTTTTTAAGATATTTAATTTAGCCCATTTTATTATATGGATCTGAAATATGGGGTTTTCAGCGTTTCGATTGTATCGAGAGAGTACATCTTTTAGCCTGTAAAAAGTACCTCAACGTAAGCCCAAAGACACCTAACTGCATGGTATATGGAGAATGTGGCAGATTTCCTGTGTATATTATTTCTCAAATAAGATAATGTTTAAAATATTGGTTTAAGATTCTAAATATACACGAACAACGACTGCCAAAATTAACTTACAATATGCTTTTAAATCTGGATAATTTGGGAAAACATACTTGGGCAACTGATATCAGAAATTTATTATTTTCTCACGGTTTCGGTTTCATATGGTTGTGCCAGACAATTGGCGACATGAACAGGTTTGCTAATGAATTGCGTGTTAGATCAATGGATATGTTCAATCAAGAATTGATATCCACCTTAGATTCAAGCTCACGATATGAATATTACAGGATCTTTAAAATGTTACTCCAGCCAGAAAAATACTTATCAATAAGTACAACATATAGTTTAAGAACAATGTTTGTAAAGTATCGTTTAGGTTTGTTATCTTTAATGATTAATGAGGGTAGGAAAACCTCCGTCCAGAAAGAAAGTCGATATTGTCCTTTATGTAACGTAGGGATAGATGTTAGATCATTTTTTTCGCTGATATGTCCTTGTTATCAGGAATTAAGACAGAAATATATACCACACCATTTTCTTGCAATGCAACCCCTATATGCATATATATCTTTGTTACAAACTAATAATGAAAATATTCTTGCTCAATTGTCTTTGTATATAAATCATCCATTAGCTAAAAGAAATCTTCTTATAAAGCGAATTGTATACCCTTAAATATATATGTAAATATCCAAAATATTCCTTTATCACTGTAACTCTCATGTATATGGGCCGGAGGCTTTTCATACAATAAACATCTTTTGCCTTTGTATGTGTGCGCGTGTGTGTATCTGTTTGTATATCTGTGTGTGTGATGTCTTATCTGAAACATGCTGAAATATGTTCACTCCTCGTGGTGCTTATATTGTCCACCTAGTGCATTCATTTCGCATAACTATTTCGCTGCAATATTTTAACCGGGCTACATGTGCACCTGGGGGAAAATATGTAACTGTGATGATAGATATTGTCTCCTCGGTTCCTTGTTGAAAGGTCTCAAGAAACTGTGAAGCGAACAAATGGATAGAATGGTAATAATAAATGACATGGATGATTCTGCGTTCATTTCCCATTGTATATAAAAAAAACCCAACAAATTCTGCTCTAACAGATCCTGCTTTGTGCAAGTCTAAACCCAAGATCACAAAATCACCTGTTATGCAATTATTTTCAGATCTCCTGATACTGTATTTACGACATGTTCACGACATTTACGAACATTACATATTTTTGTGGCGACTGGTTTCAAGCTAGCACATGTGTCCTTTCTTAATGAAACAGTTAGATGAAGACAATAACATTTTGAACGATAATTGTTCCCAACTGGAGAAACGTTTATTATCTCGATCTTGTATTTACTGTCCCAAATTTCACTCAGTTAACGCAAGAAGCGACGAAAGAGACTAAGGAGTGATTCGGGGTGACGTGGTTGAAGGCATATCACCCTGTTACGTTGACCAACAAGTGTATGCTCAAGATGCCAGTGAGTGTATTGTCTCGTCTAGAGTATTTTATTTCTAGACTGCCGTTATATAGAAGAATTACTGTGGCATAGGGAAGTAAGGTTAAGTGACTGTTTTCATTTCACATCTGCGCATCTTAATATCCGAAAAACGTAACATCGAAAACTCCGGCGCTAAGAAACAAAACTTCCAAAACGTAGAAAAAATAGTTCTTAAAACGTTTACACACGCACACACGCACACACGCACGCACGCACGCACAGGCATATGCAATACGCTTACTAATTGTGTTATGTTTCTTAAGGGTCATTTGTTTCATCGTATTTAAAAATAATTAATTTGAGAAGACTTTGCGAATTAATAGAAACGCCATGAGTATGTTATCATCATTTATACATTTTAGAGTATGTCTGACCAAAATATATTTTGACTAAGGAACCCGTCCATATGTAAAGTATCGTCAATGTCACTAAAGCTGAGAGTGTAGTTCACTCCAAGAAAATAGACGGATACTTATGTAAGACAATGCATTATTAGTCATTTTAGTCTATCCAATTGTTTTCAGGACTTATTGTGCAGTGTCGTCTTTCCAGGTGAGCATCGTGATTGAGGTAATAAATGACGATCCGTTGACACTCGGTTTAACATAATGACATCAGAGTGTGCCGCTAGCATGTTGCGTGGGTGACATAATGACATAAATCTTTCACAAGTGGAAGTAATGGATGCATGTACTGCAGGTCAACCCGCTGAGGTCACTCACTTGTCGTTTCACTTCCTTGCCTTTATATTATCTAAGGTGAATGCACATGGCCATTAGGTAAAGACATGTTTTGAATAGTGTTTTAAATGTTGGTTTGTCATTGTCTCTAAGGTACATATACTCATTTGGCAGTATTACACCTAGATGACAAAATGTCCTGTATATAGCGAAGTCTGAACAAGAAAAGCCTGCCGTAAGCATCAATTTCCTCATTGTAAAACAATTATAATACGCACTCAACCAAATCGCCAAACCTGACTATTAAATCAATTAGCTGTTCGTCAAATGTATTTCATAAATTCAAAACTCCCCAGACTATATACGTAATACAAACATAGCCCCATAGCAAGAGTGTCCACTAGTCCATATCCAAGACTACTTTGATCCTTGCCAAGTCTACTAATGTGTGTTAATATACATTAGAGGAATATCGCATATCGATATTCCAGCCTGGGAAAATTTTTCAGCATCAACATTCGAGTTCCGAAAATGTTGTCTTTTATATGGTAATAGCCGTCACCATTAGCACTTGCGCTATAATTATGTATTTTAAAAATCAAGGAAACACAAATCTTTTGGAAGTTGTTATTTGTTTTCAATCAATTCTTCCAAATACCTCAATATTGAAGCAGAAACGTCATATGTCTTAACGCTATCTGATCGATCTATGGTAGAAGCCTTCTTTGTGAATCCATTTTCCTATTTAACTGGATATATGGAGACACAACCTATCATCTTCACGGACTAGCAACATAATAGCAACAAAAAAAGGCTTACTGTAAAATTGAAACAGCAAGGGTAGAAACTAGGGCTGACTATCGGTATAGACCATATACATCGATAATCGTTAACTAATATAGATCGATTATAGATAAATATCGGAGACGTATCTTTGAGCAAAAAAGCCAAATATGTCTGACAGAAATGAATAATATATTTCACATACATGGTGAGTGGTTGAAATGTATTTGCTTGTTATTAACAGCTTCCTGAACATAATTTATAAGCAGAACATGAATAAAGTCCTACATTTGTATATATTTAGAGAAAATTAAAAAAATGTTCGATCCCAAAAGTTAATATACGATATCATCGATAGCACAATTTTATATCGATAATCTAATATTTTTTCCTATCGGTGATATTTCCGATTATCGACAACTTAGCCAGCCCTAGTAGAAACAAATCTTTGATACATGCTAGTGGACTCGAGAAGATGCATAGCAATGAAACAATAGTTTTGGTGTATTTATTTGCTATGTTGGAGGATTACCAAAGGGAAATGGATAAAGGAATACAGCCCGGGCTGTTGCTTCAGCAACAAGGCATGCTGCAGCGTTAGCTGAATTGATGACGACCATTGTGGGAACTGTGAAATATAATCAATATTCATGACTTTTACTTATACCTATACATCAATGCGCACGGTTCAAGTTTAATTTATGTTATATTTGGGACTACAGTTTCTTCGTAAATTTTAAATTGAAGTACTTGTTCGGGTTGCGTCCCATACGGGATTCTGGCCCACGTGCATAGAGCGAGGCGCCTAATCGCCAAAATAAAAAACAGTGACCTAATCCACTCTGGGGCAGTTTAATCCCCTTAATCAACACTCAAACCCTGTTGTATGTACAACGAGGAGAGTTCTATGGATATACAACTGGCGACGTTTCGGTGTAGCTACTGACACCGTTATCAAGCTCATGATAAGCATTAACAGTGTTATCCATAGAACTCTCCTCGTTGTTTATCACACCAGCTTCTAAATGCCACTCAAACAAGTTACCTATTGTTTATGTGTGCGTGTCATGTAAAGCTTGTTCAGCTTGACCTGAGCTACTCTACATATGCATGACCCGAGAGGTCAAATAGCACAAACGGCAGATCGGGTTATCTTCATCAAATAGGGGTGCAGAAGCATGCATACATAGATTCGTTACAGAACTTGTCCCGAAAAAAACACCTCTGAAAATAAACAATCATGTCATGTATTAATTGAATTGTTTATACAGTCATTGAATTGTTTATACAGTCATATGCTATCTAGTTTGGTTTGCTAACTTTACGACTTACAGACGTCAGTTACTTTCACAATCCGATTCATTCTCGCTATCACTCTCTACACCCAGTTCGAGTGGTCAGGCTCTCTGACTTGGTTGACACATGTCATCGGTTCCCAATTGCGCAGATCGATGCTCCTGCTGTTGATCACTGGATTGTCTGGTCCAGACTCGATTATTTGCAGACCGCCGCCATAAAGCTGGAATATTGCTGAGTGCGACGTAAAACTAACCTCACTCACTCACTCTACACCCAGTTCAATTATCACTTTTTCTATTTCATGTTCAACTGCTATATTTCTGCACCAGTAGTCGCTTTCCAATTTTCAACATGGGCAAAGCAACCAGTCCACTCGTTTACACCAATCATCTGACAAAGGTGCACCCCTTCACAACAATAGACCCAACCAGCTGTGGTACGGTCACGTAATTCATTATTATTCACTTGATCAGGTCAAGCTGAACAAGCTGTAATTATATGAAAGCATGCAGCTATTCTATATATTTTAAGTGCAACATTGTTTGATCGGGTCGGTGCGAGAGGGAGTGCAGGTATTAAATCAAAGTGAAATTGTTCCTTATAAGTCATGTTATCTCGACGATTTTACAGAGAACGCTCTGGCCCGAAATAAGCGAATTTCAATTTATATAATCAGACTTATACTTATGTAACACAGAGTGTCTGAGTGGCCACGTCTGAAGTGTCATATGCCCATTTTTGTACCAGATCAGAAGTTGAGAGTTGTCTTACCACGGAATAAGAATCTATACCGAAACGCCGCATACTCAATGAAGACGTTGTCATCAACACAGTATCTTAACTTTCTCACACACAGAACTACTGGCATTCGTCGCTATTAAGCTGTATATTTCAAAAGTGTATTTTTCCAATGAGTACAATAAAGTACTAACGTTAAATTCATGCAAAGCGGGGCGGTGGTGTAGCCAAGTGGTTAAAGCGTACGGTCGTCACGTCGAAGGCCCGGGTTCGATTCCCCACATAGGTACAATGTGTGAAGCCCAATTCTCTAGTCTCCCGCCGTGATATTGTTGGAATATTGCTAAAAGCGGCGTAAAACTAAATTCGCTTACTCATGCAAAGCAGGTAATGTAGAAATGTACTTCAAAACTTGTTGTTTTATATTTCAAGTCAATATGGAATAACGTGGAACTTCATATTTTGCTGCAGAGCGTTGTGAACAGTTGTGTCTCAAACACCTGACACAATGGTCATGGTGGGCACGAGATTCACCTGACTGCTCATTCTCGGCATAGCGTTATTGCTGTAACCAAATTAGATGTCCGTTATATGTCAACGACTCTTTAAGCAAGATATAGAATACGTTAAACCAAACTAACTTTTTACTCTACATTGTAGAGAAAATTAATCATGAAGGTTGTTTAACGAAAAAAATGCTCGAGGGAGCATTCTTGTTCACGAAACTACTCAACATCGTAATAAAGCCACTTAATATGCATTGTTTGTTTGTTTAACGCCATACTCAGCAATATTTCAGTTAAGTGACGACGGTCTGTAAATAATCGAGTCTGGATCAGACAATCCAGTGATCAACATCATGAGCATCGATCTACGGAATTGGGATACGATGAAATGTGTCAACGAAATCAGTGAGCCTGACCACCCGATCCAGTTAGTCGCCTCTTACGACAAGCATTGGTTGCTGAAGATCAATTATAACCAAGATCTTCACTGGATACTTAATATACATGCATGCTGAACTGGTAGTATGAGTATAGAAGGATCACAAAACTAAAGATTATAATAAATAATTGGTTTATTTCAGTACAAAACAACAGCGATTTAGACATCACCCACGCCTTTTAGTGTAGCATGACAACACTCTGCTACAAGATGACTAAACGCATTAGCATCTTTATTATACATGTCAAGTATATTGACCACAATGGACTGGAACAGGTCGCTTAGAATCCCATGTAAGCCGGGACATAAGCGGTTCCTGATGGAGCACCTACAGAAGCGGCACCAGTGGCGGGGGCAGCAGCAGCAGAGGCCCGCTGAGCATCCAGATCACCAATGTAATCATGACCTGTAATACAATACATGACAACAGAAATGTTACTTGATACAATATACACTTATGTCAGTACAAAAAATTGCTGTTTTATGTTCATGCACGTTTTGATTCATGCATGCATTTGTTTCTTGTTTGTGTGTTTCGCAAATAGTGTAAATGGTGGGTGCCACCCGGAAGTTAGGACATGCTTTTACAAGCATCACTGATTTTCGGTGATCCAATTATAACATTGTCACCGATATTTACCTCTTTTCACATTTATGGAATCTGTCTATGAGGAAAATCGAGACCGGATGCTGTTTTGCACAGACGGTTTATATACTTTAACATTACAACGTGAGTGAGTTTAGTTTCAAGCCGCACTCAACAAAATTCCAGCTACATGGCGGCGATCTGTAAATAATCGAGTCTGGACCAGACAATCCAGTGATCAACAGGATGAGCATCTATCTACGCAATTGGGATACGATGACATGTGGGTCAACCAAGTCGTGCCTGACCACCCGATCCCGTTAGTTGTCTCTTACTACAAGCATGGGTTACTGAAGATCAATTCTAACCCGGACCTACACGGCTCTCACATTTCAAAACGTCGCTTACCATAACCATTTGAATGAATGTCTCCGACGCCATGTAATCCTCCATTGACATATCCTTGGTTGTGGAGTCCTGCGCCGACGCCAAGAGGGACTGAAAGGCCGAACGGGGGGAATGCGAAGCCCGAATGGATGCATTCCAAAGCCAAATGGGTGGATTCCTGCGCCGAATGGAGGAATACCAATCCTGCCGATGGGAGGGATACCAATTGCAAGACCATGTGTTGTTGTTATGGCAACAAGGCAGACAGCGGCAAGAGCAAGAAGCTTCATCTTTCTTAAATCTGTGGAAATAGAAGGAACTGACGTTATGCATTTTATAACAGTTCATGTGTAAGTGAAAATCAAATTCACAGAGTGTGTTATCTTCGTTCTGTGTCTATGTATATCCATTTTATCCATACTTTTAACGAGAAGACATACACTATAGACACACACTGAACTGCTTCTATTCATTACTATGTATTTGCCTTAGAAAAGTTTAATAATATTTGTAAACCTGGAAATTGTGACAAAGTAAGTGTTATGTCCATGTTGGAAAACATCTCGGAAAAGTTAAATTAAGAGTGAGAGAACCACTATAGTAAGGTTCATAATTACACGCTACTGAAATATCAGACATAGAAATTTTCAAAACATACACTGAACATTTCAAAAAGATATGACACTGAGGAACAAACACTTACTTTTTTGTTGCGGTGTACAGGGTCTGACTGACTGAAGTCTCAACTGCAGGGTCCTTGTTTTATACCAACATGCTGGACACGGGTACAAAGCGGGTTGTAAATTGTAAATATGTCTTGAAAATGACCCTCGGCGACTAGGCGTTACAGAACAACGATGGCTGTGTTCACCGGACAGGTGATTGATGCGTGATGTATTGGCCAGTGATTACGTTGCACAATAACAACGAACAATGAATTAGATCACCATTTCGATGTTTCTGACGTTCTTATCAGTTCAATTCTCTCAGTGCACTACATCCCAGTGTACAGATCTAATTTCTCATATTCTATCATCGAGTGATAGAACAGGTTAACACTGCATCATAAACAGTGCGATATATCTATGAATAGACTAACAACTAGTCTCTGAAATGAACATATTTAACAGAAAATAAAAGTTTTTAAATCAAAATTGTAAATACAATAAAAAGGAGCCCAGGGACTTTCTTCATTTTCAGAGACTTGCCACATTTTCTAGACTTGCGTGGGTTTTCTGGGATATATTTGCTTCAGGGTCTGTACGACAGACTAACCAATGAATTACAGCAGCGTGAACTCAAAAACAGGTGGACTCTGTATTTCCTTTGTACACCTTTCGTAAAAATGCTAACTTTACGTCCATACATTCAACGTTTTATAAGGGATAGAAATTAGACATGAATGTCGAGAAGTACATCAAGCAACATCGTCTATAAACGTAAACAAGGTATGTGGTGATATTAATAAAAGTATTTGCAATGACACACAAATGTTTATTTATGTTCTATATGAATGATTTACGGATATACACTGCTATTTACACAAGGTCTCCCACGAAGGCAATGGTGATATTTGATTGCAAATGTAGTGGTAGTACATTGTTGTATGTGGAGAAATTGTCTATTGCATTTCTTGATAGGAGCTGATTAAATAATGCCTCCTTATATTTTCTGTTCAAAACCATTGAAAAGTAAGTTCAACTATTAATCGCTCCGCGCACCATATTCAGAACAGAACAAAACTCGGTTTTCACATAAAATAAAAGAGGGAAATCTTGGGGCGGATTTGGTAGCCTGTTGGGTAAAGCATTTTCTCGTTCCGCAAGGGTACACTGTGAGAAACCAATGCCGTGATACTGCTGAAATATTACTGCTAAAATCCCATTTTATAATTGTTAAAGCTATCTTCTTTCAATGTCGTATGTGTGCTGCATTTTGCATCAATTATATAATTGTCTGCTTGAAATAGTGAGTATTTAAGAATTACGCCCCAGTCAACCGCATTGAGGACGGCATTAAAATAAGAGTTTGGCAAGTTTCAGCTTGACCTGAGCTACTCTACATATGCATGACCCGGGAGGTCAAATAGCACAAACGGCAGATCGGGTTATCTTCATCAAATAGGGGTGCAGAAGCATGCATACATAGATTCGTTACAGAACTTGTCCCGAAAAAAAAAACACCTCTGAAAATAAACAATCATGTCATGTATTAATTGAATTGCTTATACAGTCATTGAATTGTTTATACAGTCATATGCTATCTAGTTTGGTTTGCTAACTTTACGACTTACAGACGTCAGTTACTTTCACAATCCGATTCATTCTCGCTATCACTCTCTACACCCAGTTCGAGTGGTCAGGCTCTCTGACTTGGTTGACACATGTCATCGGTTCCCAATTGCGCAGATCGATGCTCCTGCTGTTGATCACTGGATTGTCTGGTCCAGACTCGATTATTTGCAGACCGCCGCCATAAAGCTGGAATATTGCTGAGTGCGACGTAAAACTAACCTCACTCACTCACTCTACACCCAGTTCAATTATCACTTTTTCTATTTCATGTTCAACTGCTATATTTCTGCACCAGTAGTCGCTTTCCAATTTTCAACATGGGCAAAGCAACCAGTCCACTCGTTTACACCAATCATCTGACAAAGGTGCACCCCTTCACAACAATAGACCCAACCAGCTGTGGTACGGTCACGTAATTCATTATTATTCACTTGATCAGGTCAAGCTGAACAAGCTGTAATTATATGAAAGCATGCAGCTATTCTATATATTTTAAGTGCAACATTGTTTGATCGGGTCGGTGCGAGAGGGAGTGCAGGTATTAAATCAAAGTGAAATTGTTCCTTATAAGTCATGTTATCTCGACGATTTTACAGAGAACGTCTGGCCCGAAATAAGCGAATTTCAATTTATATAATCAGACTTATACTTATGTAACACAGAGTGTCTGAGTGGCCACGTCTGAAGTGTCATATGCCCATTTTTGTACCAGATCAGAAGTTGAGAGTTGTCTTACCACGGAATAAGAATCTATACCGAAACGCCGCATACTCAATGAAGACGTTGTCATCAACACAGTATCTTAACTTTCTCACACACACAGCTACTGACATTCGTCGCTATTAAGCTGTATATTTCAAAAGTGTATTTTTCCAATGAGTACAATAAAGTACTAACGTTAAATTCATGCAAAGCGGGGGCGGTGGTGTAGCCAAGTGGTTAAAGCGTACGGTCGTCACGTCGAAGGCCCGGGTTCGATTCCCCACATGGGTACAATGTGTGAAGCCCAATTCTCTAGTCTCCCGCCGTGATATTGCTGGAATATTGCTAAAAGCGGCGTAAAACTAAATTCGCTTACTCATGCAAAGCAGGTAATGTAGAAATGTACTTCAAAACTTTTTGTTTTATATTTCAAGTCAATATGGAATAACGTGGAACTTCATATTTTGCTGCAGAGCGTTGTGAACAGTTGTGTCTCAAACACCTGACACAATGGTCATGGTGGGCACGAGATTCACCTGACTGCTCATTCTCGGCATAGCGTTAGTGCTGTAACCAAATTAGATGTCCGTTATATGTCAACGACTCTTTAAGCAAGATATAGAATACGTTAAACCAAACTAACTTTTTACTCTACATTGTAGAGAAAATTAATCATGAAGGTTGTTTAACGAAAAAATGCTCGAGGGAGCATTCTTGTTCACGAAACTACTCAACATCGTAATAAAGCCACTTAATATGCATTGTTTGTTTGTTTAACGCCATACTCAGCAATATTTCAGTTAGGGGACGACGGTCTGTAAATAATCGAGTCTGGATCAGACAATCCAGTGATCAACATCATGAGCATCGATCTACGGAATTGGGATACGATGAAATGTGTCAACGAAATCAGTGAGCCTGACCACCCGATCCAGTTAGTCGCCTCTTACGACAAGCATTGGTTGCTGAAGATCAATTATAACCAAGATCTTCACTGGATACTTAATATACATGCATGCTGAACTGGTAGTATGAGTATAGAAGGATCACAAAACTAAAGATTATAATAAATAATTGGTTTATTTCAGTACAAAACAACAGCGATTTAGACATCACCCACGCCTTTTAGTGTAGCATGACAACACTCTGCTACAAGAGGACTAAACGCATTAGCATCTTTATTATACATGTCAAGTATATTGACCACAATGGACTGGAACAGGTCGCTTAGAATCCCATGTAAGCCGGGACATAAGCGGTTCCTGATGGAGCACCTACAGAAGCGGCACCAGTGGCGGGGGCAGCAGCAGCAGAGGCCCGCTGAGCATCCAGATCACCAATGTAATCATGACCTGTAATACAATACATGACAACAGAAATGTTACTTGATACAATATACACTTATGTCAGTACAAAAAATTGCTGTTTTATGTTCATGCACGTTTTGATTCATGCATGCATTTGTTTCTTGTTTGTGTGTTTCGCAAATAGTGTAAATGGTGGGTGCCACCCGGAAGTTAGGACATGCTTTTACAAGCATCACTGATTTTCGGTGATCCAATTATAACATTGTCACCGATATTTACCTCTTTTCACATTTATGGAATCTGTCTATGAGGAAAATCGAGACCGGATGCTGTTTTGCACAGACGGTTTATATATACTTTAACATTACAACGTGAGTGAGTTTAGTTTCAAGCCGCACTCAACAAAATTCCAGCTACATGGCGGCGATCTGTAAATAATCGAGTCTGGACCAGACAATCCAGTGATCAACAGGATGAGCATCTATCTACGCAATTGGGATACGATGACATGTGGGTCAACCAAGTCGTGCCTGACCACCCGATCCCGTTAGTTGTCTCTTACTACAAGCATGGGTTACTGAAGATCAATTCTAACCCGGACCTACACGGCTCTCACATTTCAAAACGTCGCTTACCATAACCATTTGAATGAATGTCTCCGACGCCATGTAATCCTCCATTGACATATCCTTGGTTGTGGAGTCCTGCGCCGACGCCAAGAGGGACTGAAAGGCCGAACGGGGGAATGCGAAGCCCGAATGGATGCATTCCAAAGCCAAATGGGTGGATTCCTGCGCCGAATGGAGGAATACCAATCCTGCCGATGGGAGGGATACCAATTGCAAGACCATGTGTTGTTGTTATGGCAACAAGGCAGACAGCGGCAAGAGCAAGAAGCTTCATCTTTCTTAAATCTGTGGAAATAGAAGGAACTGACGTTATGCATTTTATAACAGTTCATGTGTAAGTGAAAATCAAATTCACAGAGTGTGTTATCTTCGTTCTGTGTCTATGTATATCCATTTTATCCATACTTTTAACGAGAAGACATACACTATAGACACACACTGAACTGCTTCTATTCATTACTATGTATTTGCCTTAGAAAAGTTTAATAATATTTGTAAACCTGGAAATTGTGACAAAGTAAGTGTTATGTCCATGTTGGAAAACATCTCGGAAAAGTTAAATTAAGAGTGAGAGAACCACTATAGTAAGGTTCATAATTACACGCTACTGAAATATCAGACATAGAAATTTTCAAAACATACACTGAACATTTCAAAAAGATATGACACTGAGGAACAAACACTTACTTTTTTGTTGCGGTGTACAGGGTCTGACTGACTGAAGTCTCAACTGCAGGGTCCTTGTTTTATACCAACATGCTGGACACGGGTACAAAGCGGGTTGTAAATTGTAAATATGTCTTGAAAATGACCCTCGGCGACTAGGCGTTACAGAACAACGATGGCTATGTTCACCGGACAGGTGATTGATGCGTGATGTATTGGCCAGTGATTACGTTGCACAATAACAACGAACAATGAATTAGATCACCATTTCGATGTTTCTGACGTTCTTATCAGTTCAATTCTCTCAGTGCACTACATCCCAGTGTACAGATCTAATTTCTCATATTCTATCATCGAGTGATAGAACAGGTTAACACTGCATCATAAACAGTGCGATATATCTATGAATAGACTAACAACTAGTCTCTGAAATGAACATATTTAACAGAAAATAAAAGTTTTTAAATCAAAATTGTAAATACAATAAAAAGGAGCCCAGGGACTTTCTTCATTTTCAGAGACTTGCCACATTTTCTAGACTTGCGTGGGTTTTCTTGGATATATTTGCTTCAGGGTCTGTACGACAGACTAACCAATGAATTACAGCAGCGTGAACTCAAAAACAGGTGGACTCTGTATTTCCTTTGTACACCTTTCGTAAAAATGCTAACTTTACGTCCATACATTCAACGTTTTATAAGGGATAGAAATTAGACATGAATGTCGAGAAGTACATCAAGCAACATCGTCTATAAACGTAAACAAGGTATGTGGTGATATTAATAAAAGTATTTGCAATGACACACAAATGTTTATTTATGTTCTATATGAATGATTTACGGATATACACTGCT